GCACTGGAGTCTGGGCTTTTGGTCTAGCCATCACCTAAATAGGGTACATTATACCCTATAGGTAATTTTTCTCCCCTTAATTCCTCCCACCCTTCCCTCTTTGAGTATCCCATGTCCATTATACCACTGTGTGTGTCTTTGTGAAGCCATAGTTTAGCTTGCACTTATAATATGTAAGACCATGTGATATTTATTTGTCTGTTCCTGAGTTATCTCACTTAGGGTAATGGCCTCTAGTTCCAACCAAATTGCTGCAAAAGCCATGTATTTCATTCTTTCTTGTCACTGAGTAGTACTCCATGGGATATATATCCCACATTTTCTTAATCCACTCATCAAGTTGACAGAATCTTTGACATTATCTTTATATCTTGACTTGAGGGCAAACTGCTTCTAAGCCTTCTCTCACTGGCAAACTCTAGATCATCCTCACTAGGAGTGGCCAGCTACAGAGCCCCTGCTGAGAAATTATAGTTAATATAACTCATTTTCTGGGTTTTAGGTATCATTCCATCTCTCTGGAAGGCATTGAATTTTGTACCAAAACATGAAGTTCCCAGTGTTGTTAGTTGCTGCTTTTTAAATAACATTCCTAAACATTCTAGGAGCAAGAGTCCTTCCAATTCCCCCTCTTTGTGTGAGAGGTCAGAGTTTTCTGCCCACAAATAGACCCTTAGAGTGTAGCCAGATTGCAAATGGTGGGTCAGGAGCTTGGAAGGGATGGGCCTGCATGCCTGTCCTAGGCAGACTCCTTCACAGACCTGACCAGAGTAGGAAGAAGTTCCTATTAACTGAGGGAAAGGGCGTTTAGGGATCTCTGAAATAATGCAAACCCCTGCTGCTGTGGTTGGTGGGGCTGGCCAAATTTCCTTTTGTTGAGCTTGTTTCCAACCCCCTACTTTCTAGTCATCTTACAGTTGCTGGTTTATTTGCACAATGCATGCTGATCTTGGATTGAAAGCCTCTCATTGTTTTTGAGTTTGGTGTTTAGATAACACCACATGCCTGTGGTGGCCAGGGCATCCTGTAAAGGAAATGCCTAGCCTCTAACAGCCCTGTCATTCATTCTCAGTAGGCAAGTGAGTGTGGCCTATGTTCAGGACCATTACAAGAACATTGCTCTGCAGGGATTATTACTTGTTGCCCGCAGGGATACTGGGCTGCTTCTTGATTTCTGGAGTTCTGGGGATGGTTTTCTAAGTCTCTTCCCTCTTCCCTTTCATTTCAATCATAAGAGGATTAAAGGCTATTTTGCCCAAGCCTTGTTTCCACACATACCTGCAGTACCAGAGCATTGTTCCCTTTGGTGAGAAGAATGCTTTGGGGAACACAGGATTGACTGTGGCAGGGGTTGGTACAGGCTGTTTTTATGACCAGGCTAGGTTGGCAGCTGCCCCTGCACTGTGGTTTCAGGGCCTCTTTCCCCATAGGAAATCTCTTTTCTTGTCTGCTTTATCATTCTGTTGCCAAAAAGAAAAAAGAAAATGTATTATCTTCATTTAATATTAAAACTTTTTTGTTTTTTTTTTTTTTGAGACAGAGTCTCACTTTGTTGTCCAGGCTAGAGTGAGTGTCGTGGCGTCAGCCTAGCTCACAGCAACCTCAAACTCCTGGGCTCACAAGGACACAGAAAAAGCGTGAGGAAATTATAGAAGAACCTAGGACATGATTTCCAACCTTAGCACTCGTTGACATTTTGGCTGATAGTCTCTTGGTGTGTGGGGCTATCTTCTGGTGTTGGTAGAGAGTTAACAGTATCCTGGCCTCTTCCACTAGAGCCAGTAAATCTTCCTAAGTTTCCTCGACAACCAAATGTCTCCAGACATTGACCAGTTATCCGCCTGGGGACAATTGCGTCTGTTCGAGACCCTCTGATCCTGGATTATCAACTGCCAAGTTTGCTCAGAGCATTTAGGGCAGCGTTTGCCCAGGGAGAGCCACAATGACATTCTGTGATGGTCCTGGATGTTGTCATTGAAGATACAGTTTTTTTGCCTTAATTGTATATATAATGATAAAAATATTGAATGACTTTTGATTTTCTCCTAATTAGATTGATCCATTTATATTTGTGACTTTTGTCCTATGGGAAGTTTATAAATAAATTAATTTTCTCAGAACATTCCTTTTTGTTGTAGTAGTTTCTCTGGATGAGGAGGATGTGAAGCAGTTGAATCTAAGCTTGATCAGTTATAGATTAACTTAGAAGTCGTGCATATTCCCATTACGTTACAGAGTATCATAATTTAGGGAATAGAACACAAGATTTGTTTTTTGTGTTGTTGTTCATACTTTAGGACTAAAAGTGTACTAATTCATTGTCTTGTCTCTAAATCCTGGATACACAATTGAACACAAGTAATATTGCTGAAGTAATTTAGTACTTTGTCAATGTGGGTATTTAACGTTTCTGGGCTAGCGCTTTTTAACTGTAAGTCAGGATGATAGTATCATTTTCCCTGTCACTTCAGAGCTTTAGGAGGATGATTTAGAATATGGGCATTTATGTGAAACTAATTTACTGAGTTATGTTTTTAAGTGTTGTACGACAAGAGCCAATAATTGTCCCACTCCTAGAACATATCTCTCAATGTGGATTTAGTGGCTCACACTTCCACCACTCAGGCTAAAGTAGCAGCGTCATGGGTACAGTATGATCAGCAGACTGCATGTTATTCTCTGACTAGTCCAGACAGGATCTTTTTTTGCTGCTTCAAATCCAAAACCTTTCCTGCCTTATTGGTCTTATATTTGATCTCATCCTGTAATACTCTGGAATGCTCAGCGTGGCTGTGTGCTCTGAACTCTTCCTTTATCATAGGCTGGTAACCATCTAAAGAGGAATCTGAAAATTGTCCCATAATAGGAATGAACATGGATAAGTAAGTAATCAATGATCCTATCTGAGATAATCTCTAGCTTTTAATTACATACAATGAGATAGTCAAGTGCATACAAGTGACCCAGATATGTCTAGAGCTACAGTCTCAACCCCAGGCTGCAAGTATCAATCTGTGGCTGTTAGAACTTGGGCCTACAGCAGGAGGTGAGTGCAGAAGAGGGGAGTGAGGAACTTCATCTGTATTTACAGCTGCCCATCAACTGTCATCACCACCTGAAGCTCCACCCATGCCTGTCAGGTCAAGTGGCTGCATAGATTCATCATAAGAGCTCCAACACTTATCTGTAAACTGTGCATGCGAGGAGGGATCTAGTTGCGTGTCTTATTAAGAATCTAATGCCTGATGATCTGAGAGGAGGCGGTTTTGTTGTATGTCTATCTGGGGATGTGGCTGAAATCAAATTTATATTGATATACAGTTATCGTGCCACTAAATAGAAGAAAAGTGCACTATAATGTTGCGTAATGCTCTTAATATCCAAACACACTATCCATCGAAAATTATTCCATGAACTGATCCCCTAGTGCCAAAACAATTGGACCGCTGTCTCAAGAGTATACTTCTTTTTGACTATCCTGGGTTCACTGGTAATTCATTAATCCCAAAAAGAAATTAACATTTTAAGAATATAGACCAGGAAATAGTATCGAAGTATCTGAGTTCTTTTTGTCTCCCATGCTCATTGCCACCATTGGTAGGACAATTCTAATTATGGAGCCTTAGAGATTATTTTAACAAATCTCTTTCACAGATGAGAAACTAAGACTCAGAGGGTTAAGTATATAGTATCACATACACAAGTTTGTGCTGAGCCAGATAGAACTCATTTTGGCTTCAGTACGACCTTGTTACTATACAAATGACCAATCTGCAACAGGAGCAGAGCAGGCAGCAAAATGAATGAATGGGCGGGATGGTGGGGAACTGTGGTCAACTGGAGAGCCCAGCCAATCCATGTAAATGGACAGCTTTACTCAGTTCAGTCCATTGTTGCCATGTGGACTCTGTGGTTGCCAGTAGGTCTCTATGTTTTTCAAGGAAAAAATAGAAATAGACGCTTTTTCTATGCAATCTCCTGATTTTTAAAATATTACAACAAATATACTTCTGTTATGTTTACACAAATCTGTATACACCACACCATATTCTGCTCTGGAGCCACCGTTTGAAAGCCTATGTGCTTCATCAGTAGATGTTTTTGTTATGTGGTACCTTTCACAGTCTGTCACTGTTGAGCATGTGCAGTGAGACAAGTTCTTTTTCCTAGATTCCCAATAAACTCTTCCTACTTCATACTTATTCTCCCTCCATTTTAAAATAAGAAAGCAGATCTATTACTGTGGGCAGAATGCTTGTCGGTACACATTCGACTGACATTGCCCAGATTGGTACCCTCTTATAGATTTTCATCTAGAAGCCCTATGCTACAATGTTTTTGGCTACCAAATTCACTTTTGGCTACAAATAGCATGTTTGTTTATTTCTAGGTTTTTATTATACTACATTATCTATTATAATTCCTTGAGCCCAGGAGTTTGAGGTTGCAGTGAGCTATGACGACGCTACTGTACTCTAGCCTGGGCAACAGAGAGACCTTGTCTCAAAAACAAAAGGAAAAATGATTTAAAAATAAATGTTTATTGTGCTTAAGTAATAAAATTATTACTATTTTAAAAATATCCAAAATAAACAATAAAGTATTATTCTTGCTGATGGTTCTTATAGCTCTAATATAGAGGATAAATATATTACTTAAATATCATCCATAATTGGGATGGACAGGACTTACATGCCAGGGTCTTGATGAGTATCTTTTTAATATGTCTTTTCTTTTAAGTTGTTTTTGTTATCATTTTATTGTGAATTTACTGGTAATTTACATTTTGAAAATTGAAGAGGGACTGATGATTTAAGTAACTTTCTTTCTTCCCTCATTATTATCTTCTAGCCACTGCATAGTAATACCCTTTTGCTGAAACTCAGATATATAAGGCTGACAGGAAATCCTGAGCACAAGTGAAGAAATACATTTAGTGTGTTTTTCAGACTCTTGTCTAGCCTGCATCATGCCTGATCCTTTTGCTTTCTGTCTTCCAGTTCTCTCCTGCGCTATGGTGGAAACCTATCCCTACAAAGTGCCATGAGTGTGCGATTCAACAGCAATGGGACTCAGCTCCTGGCCCTGAGGCGTCGCTTGCCCCCTGTCCTCTATGACATACACTCCCGCCTGCCTGTGTTCCAGTTTGACAATCAGGGTTACTTCAACTCATGCACAATGAAAAGCTGCTGTTTCGCAGGAGATCGTGACCAGGTATGTGCACTCTGCCTCCTGCATCCCACACTCATGCTTTCCTCTCTGATTTTTCTTTTGGTATTCATCTTTATTTCTTGTTAGCATCAATTATTCAGGTAGAAACAATTAAGAGGAAACAGTGTCTGGGGACATTCTGGCTTAATAGTGAGTTTCTTCTCCAAAGCTGCCATGGGGTACATATGAGGCACATACAATAAACCTAGGCTGGCCACAATATGGTTCTGAGCAACCTAGCTCTGCCAAGATTGTGAACAGATTTTAAGATTCTAAGAATGTGCCATTTCAAAAGAAAGGAGGGGAGTCTGTGGAAAATTAGCCTGCCTGTGAGAGAGACTTTTTTAAAAAATCAATAAAACACAATGATGAATGAAACTCCCTAAGTACCATCCAAGTGACATGTATCTTGAATAGCCTCTTGGGATGGCATCTTTTTCTTGGATGCAATGGGCTGAGTAGCTTTGTTTGAGAGGGAGCCAGATGCTGACTCTTTTTCTTTTTACTGCCAGCATCACAACTGGGAATGGAAAACCCAAGCTGTGAGTTTCCAGCCTTTTTGCAGTTTCACTGGGAATGGAGATGCTGATGTTGACTTAAAGCTGGCAGTTTAAAACATGCTTGGCATTCTTACGCCTGTCTGTCTTGGCCATAAGACGTTCTAAAGTGGGTGTCAGTGACTAGTTGGACTAGTCTGGGCAATTGAGCTGAGTAAAGACAAATTAAAAAAAAAGATTGATCAAATAAACAAATGCAGTTTTTTTTCTTCTGAAGCACAAATCTTATTGCTACGCAATAAGATTTGCAAGAGATTGCTACTCAATCTCATATATAGATTGAGAAAAAGGGAAACCCTAGCCTCTTGCTAATACTTAGTGTTCTCATCTTTGGGCCTATCAACTATGTCACATTTTGACATGTAATTCCCATGTGCTGTACCCCACCTCTTTAGTTATTTTTGGCATAAAAGAAATAATTCTTTGAGAACCTGCCAACCTTTTTGAAGGCAGAAGCTAGAATTTTTCTTCCTAGACTGAGGTTGATAGAGGCTCCCTAATATTGTAGTTGAAGGAATAGGCATATGTAGTAGAAACAGAATAAATGCTTGTTGAACTGTGTGGCATGTTGATAGATGAGAATATTTTAAGTTTTCTGAGCTAGAGATTTCCCATTTTATAAATAGAGACTATGTATCCAAATTCAGAGTTTATATTCAAGTTGGAGTCTAAGGGTCTACTTAGCTGAGATCCACAGTGGAGACCACTAGGTGGCCTCAGTTATATAGGCAATGTCTCCTTGGAGCGGCCACAGGGCCTGAATGACTTAATTTTTATTTGCCTATACAGTACGGAACAATATGTTTTTTGGGTAGGAAAAAGCAGTTTCTAGAGATGATCAGATTTACAATAGAACAGATAATTGTCTATCTGCAAAATGGTTGATTTGGCTGTGGAAATGACAACCAAGCCCCTCTCTGCCTCTCTTCCTCTTTTCCTTCTTTCTTCCTTGCTTTTGTTGACTTTCCATCTTCTGTCAGCCTCTTATACTTGTAATTCTTATTTTACTGAATAATAAAGAACATGAAGTAAAGGTAATAGTTTACTAGGCTTTATTGCAGGGTCTGATGGAAAGGTGAAGGAACATGGATGTTATGTTTTCTTGGGGTTGTATTTAGCAGCCAAAACCTGTTTGCATGGAGTCCTTAAAAGACACAGAAAAAAGGCTTGTAGCGAAAATATAGAAAACCTAGACCATGGTTTCTCAATCTTAGCACTGTTGACATTTTGGCTAGATAGTTCTTTGGTGTGTGGGGCTATCTTCTGTGTTGTAGGAGAGTTAACAGTATCCCTGGCCTCTCTCCACTAGATGCCAGTAAAATCTTCCTAAGTTGTCCTCCAGACAACCAAAAATGTCTCCAGACATTGCCATTTATCCCCTGGGGGGAAATTGCCTTGGTTGAGAACCTCTGATCTAGATTATAACTACCAAGTTTGCTCAGATGCATTAGGGCAGGTGTTGCCCCAGGGAGAGCCACAATATGACATTCTGTGATGGTCCTGGATGTGTGCATTGAAGATACAGTTGTTTTTGCCCTTAAGTTTATATATAATGATAAAAATATTGAATGACTTTTGATTTTCTCTAATTAGATTGACTCATTTATATTTGTGACTTTTGTCCTATGGGAAGAGTTTATAAATAAAATTATATTCTCTCAGACTAGATTCCTTTTTGGTTGGGGTAAGTAGTTTCTCTTGGATGAAGGAGGATGTGAAGTCATTGAATCTAACTTTGGATCAGTTAATAGAGTTAAAATCTTAGAAGTCTGTGCATATTCCCCATGTAGATTATCAGAGGTATATAATTTAGGGAACAGGAAACACAGATTTGTTTTTTTGTTGTTGTTGTTCATTACTTAGGGACTAAGAAGTGTAGCTAATTCATCATTGTCTTGTCTCTAAATCCTGGTACACAATGTGAACACAATAAATATTTGCTGAAGTGAATCTTGAGTACTTTGGTCAATGTGTGGTATTTAACTTTCTGGGCCTAAGGCTTTTCTAACTGTAAGTCAGGATTGATAAGTATCATTTTTCCTGCTCAACTTCCAGAGGCCTTTAGGAGGATGAATTAAATAATGGATTTATAGTGAAACTAATTTACTGAGCTTATAGTTTTTAAAGTGTTACACAAGAGGCCAAACTAATTGTCCCACTCCTAGAACATATCTCTCAATGGTGATTTATGGGCTCACACTTTCCACACTCAGGGCTAAAGTAGCAGCTGTCATGGGTACAGTATGATCAGCAGGACTGGCATGTATATTCTCTGACTAGTCCAGACAGGATCTTTTTTTGCTGCTTTCAAATTCCAAAACCTTCCCTTTCCTTATATTGGTCTTTATATTTGATCTCATTCCTGTATACTCTGAGAATGCCTACAGCCTGAGGCTGTGTGCTCTGGAACTCTTCATTTAGTCATAGGCTGGGTAACCATCCTAAAGAGGAATCTGAAAATTTCCATAATAGGAATGAACATGGATAAGTAGTAAATGATCCTATCTGAGATAATCTTCTAGCTTTTAATTACATACAATGAGATTAGTCAGTGCATACAAGTAGACCCAGATATTGTCTAGAGCTACAGTCCTCAACCCCCAGGCTGCAGACTGGTACCAATCTGTGGCCTCTTAGGAACTGGGCCATACAGCAGGAGGTGAGTGGCAGAGAGGGGGAGTGAGTGAAGCTTCATCTATATTTACAGCTGCTCCCCATCACTTGCATCACCACCTGAGCTCCGCCTCCTGTCAGGTCAGTGGCTGCATTAGATTCTCATAAGAGCTCAAACTCTACTGTAAACTGTGCATGCGAGGGATCTAGGTTGCGTGCTTCTTATAAGAATCTAATGCCTGATGATCTGAGATGGAGCTGGTGGTGATGCTAGCTAGTGCTGGGGAGTGGCTGCAAATACAAATTATCATTAGCAGACAGGTTAACAGTGCACTAATAATAGAAATAAAGTGCACAATAAATGTAATGCTCTTAAATCATCCCCAAACCACACCTAGTCCATGGAAAAATTATCTTCCATGAAACCGATCCCTAGTGCCAAAAAGTTGGGACCGCTGGTCTAGAGAGCCTATACTTCTTTTTAGACTATCCTGGGTTCACTAGGTAATTCATTAACCTCAAAAAGAAATTAACATTTTAAGAAATTAGACTCAGGAAATGAAGTATGAAATATGCTGAGTCTACTTTTTGTCTCCCCCATGCTCATTGCCACCATTGTAGACAAATTCTAATTATGGAGCTATTAGAGATTATTTTATACAAATCCTTTCACAGATGAGAAAACTAAGACTCAGAGAGGTTAAGTATATAAGTCACAACATACACAAGTTTGTAGCTGAGCCAGAACTAGAACTCAGATTTTTGGGCTTTCAGTACAGACCCCTTTTTACTATACAAATGTTCACAACTTGCCAACAGGAGCAGAGCAGGCAGCAAAAATGAATGAATTGGGCTGGGAGTGGTGGGAACTGTGGTCAACTGGAGAGCCCAGCCCACATCCCATGTAAATGGGACAGCTTCTACTCAGCTTCAGTCCATTGTTGCCATGTTGGCCTCTGTGTTGCCAGAGTCTCTAATGTTTTTTCAAGGGAAAATAGAAATAGAGCTTTTTATATGCAATCTCCTGATTTTTAAAATATTACAACAAATTCATACTTTCTTATATGTTTAAAACAAATCTGTATACCACACCTATTCTGCTCTGGAGCCACCAGTTTGAAACCTATGTGCTTCATTCAGTAGGATGTTTTTTTCTCATGTGTACTTTCACAGTCTGTCACTAGTTCATGGGTGAGTGGAGACAAGTTCCTTTTTCCTAATTCCAACTAAACTCTTCCTAACTTCATACCTTTTCTCCCTCCATCTTTTAAAATAAGAAAGCAGATATTTACTGTGGGCCAGATGCTGTGGTAGACACATTCACATGACATTGCCAGATGGTACCCTCTTTAAGATTTTCACTCAAAGCCCTATGTACAATCTGTCTTTTGGCTACAAATCTCACTTTTGGCTACAAATACATGGTTTGTTTATTTCTAGTTTATATACACATATATATATATATAATTTTTATTTTTTTTGAGACAGTGTCACTGTTGCCTTGGGTAGAGTGCAGTGGCGTCATCACAGCTCATTGCAACCTCAAACTCCTGGGCTCAAACTCAAGTGATCCTTCTGCCTCAGCCTCCTGGTAGCTGGGACTATAGGCGCCCACCACCATGCCTGGCTAATTTTTTCTGTTTTGGTAGAGACGGGGTCTTGCTCTTGCTCAGACTGGTCTCAAGCTTGTAAGCTCAAGCGATCCTTCTGCCTCGGACTCCCAGAGTATTAGGATTACAGGCATGAGCCACCACACCTGGCCTATTTCTAGTATGTTTTAATTATTCAATTTAATAATTTCTAGCTTCAGATCAGGTGACAGAAGTGACATCA